TTTGTGAAGCCCATTTAACTGTCCTGGACCTCACTGAATTGTAACATGTGAGTCAAACAGGATTATTGATAAGATCTCCCTTAAGCTCTCTTTGCTTTATACTGTATTCCCATTCTTCCCAAAGGATAGAGACTACCAGCTCCAAGGAACAGAGCAATGGGCAGGAGTAGATACATGAGTGACAGGTTTTTACTTGATATGTCCTCAGTTTTAACAAAGTTAAGCATAAGATTCTAATGCTGTAGATAGAACTTCAGAGTTAGAGACCATTTGGTTTCCCTACCCACACATATTGATGAGAGAACTGAAGTAGCATTATTTGGTTTGCTAAAGGAAATACAGTAGAAAGTTTTTTACATTTCACTATTAAAGATATTTAACAGTCTATTACTTTGAGTCCTGTTGTCCTTTGTCACAAATGTGTTTTCATTTTTGTTGTGGATGAGCATGTCCTTTCCACTAGTCTGTAAGATCCATCAGAGTAGAACTTGTTATCAGAGCCTTTGCAGCACCTGCAGAGAACCTGTAATTTTCGATAAGTCAATTGTTTACCTTCAAAAATCACTTCTTATGCTAGAAATAAGAAATTATTCTAAATATTCTTGGGGAAATAGGTAGTTTTCCCTATGACTTTTAATAAGATATCAGGAGATGTTGATAAAAAGTCTGGACATAGTCTTATGAGTATGCACACATACATACAAACATGAAATACGTTGTTTATAGGATTTTTAATCCTTAGTACTATCCCTGTGCTCTGCAGTGGTTTATTGATCATGAATCATGAACACCTTGTCTGTGTCATCATTCAATTAAAATCGATCATGTGTGTGATTTTCATATTTACACTAGTAGAATAAATGAATAATCGTATTTTCGTTTCATTTATTTCAAATATAATCAGCTTGTAGATTTTCCAAGAGTGTATTGCTAGAACAACAGTGAGAATCTGAGGGCTGTGAGATTGAGTGAGTTTACAAACTGGGAGCTCGGTGGTAGGACAAGGAATTGCTAAAAGAACAGAAGGAGTAGGGAGGATTAGGTCAAAGGTTTAGGTGATAGAACGAAGAATGCGTTTAGGACCTAGAGGTAAATGCTGCTGTCATCTGAGGAAAGGTGGGGCTGGTTAAGTCAGTACCGATCAGGCCTCCTCTAACGGCATGTGTGAAGCAACACACTCACACCACCACCCAAGAGGGTGGGGAGAAGGAAAGACAGAGTTCTGGTTCAAAAGGATTATAAACTGTGGACGATCTTAAAACTCACATGCCTGAGAACTGCCAGTTTAGGTGGAGAAAAAAATAAAGCTCTGAAATATATTGCCAAATTATTAGTTTTTAACTCATTATCCATTTCCATTTCTGATTTCTGAAATCCTGATAGTGTATTAGCTTTAGGTGTTAAAATGCAAGCTCTGGACTTAATTTTTTCTTCTTTCTGGGCTTTAGTTGATGATCCTGTGGAAACAAAAACAGCTTTGCTTGGTTTGGCAGAAAAGCAAGAAAGATAAGCTGCTTGGGGAAGAGGGAACCTGTTCCAATCCCTGTCCCTAGGTCTTTTCAAAATGTATGCGTCAGCCTGAGAAATTTTCATATGTAATGCCTAAGTCTAATTATTTAGTTTGGCTACAAAGGATTGGTGAAGCATGCTTTAATCGTTTTGATGCTAACATTGTTACAAGGCAACAAATCATTTTGAAATGATAATCTTCAGGTTCGTCACTATTTTTGCAGCTGTTTTTCTTTGTCAAATTTGTTTGAAACTAAACCCAACATAATTGGTTATAGTAAAAGAAAATAAATGACTATGTCAACTTTATTTTCCTCACTGCATAAGTAGTAACAAAAATGAGATGCAAGCTTCCTAAACATCTTGCTCCTTCCATTGGCCATAATTCGTGGACTTACCATCTTTCAGAAACTTATGGGGAGTTTCCCTTCCCCCACCTTTCCTGATTCTCTGCTCTTCTGAACACTGCAGCCAGACTTATTTTTCCAATACTCAGTTATAGTTTTTGTCACTTTTCTGCATAAAATATTTTAGTGGCTTCCAATTAACTACATAACCGAACCCCCTGGCCTGCCATCTTAGGCCTGATTAACTGGAGGCTGCCTTATATCCAGCCTTACATATTCTCTATGTTGCAGTGTGCTGAGCTACTTCAGTTCCACAGATATTTATTACATACTTTATTTGTCTCAGACTCTGAAGTAGGTGCTTGGGTTTCAAAGGCAAGTAAGACTTGGTCTTTATTTACCCCGAAAGAGTTCTGCTCCAGAGGAGGAGACATAATAAAAATGTGGTGTGTAAATGCAATGTACAGTGATATATGCCCCTGTATATTTTAGTGTTCTTCCTGGAATAAACTTTTCTTTCTGTCTTTCCTGTAAAGCACCTATCTGTCCTTCGAGACTGTTCTCAAATATCACTTTTCTTTTGTAAAGTGATATTTAGTTAAGGTAACAATTACTTGAAAGCTTTGTTAACATTTATGTATATTTCTATTAGAATTTATTTCCCTTATGTTTTATTTTATATACATATCTATTTGCACACTGATCTGTGAGCCCCATGAAGGTAGGGCTCAGTCATCCCCTAAGCTTAGCTAGATGCTCAATACCTAACACATACCAGATGCTTATAAAATATCTGTGAACTGAATAGCTTTTTAATATCCCAATATTATAAAACAAATAGAAATGTTCTAATTTTCATAAGTCAGGTTTAATAGAAGATGAGATAATATTCCTTAATAGAACTTATTTGATCTAAACTGGAGTTAAATAATTATTCAAAATGACAGTTAATATTTATCAAACTTTTTCTGTCTTAAAGGCATTGTTCTAAGAACTTTATATAAATTACTTCCTTTTGTCATAAGAATTGTATGAATTAGGAAAATATGGCTTCTTTTTATAGATTTTATATAGAATTTAAAAAATACTCATTATCATTATAATAGCTGATAGTTGAACAGCACTTATTATGTGCCAGGCACTATCTATTAACTCATTTATTCCTGACACCTACATGATTTTTTACATAGTTGCTGTTATTATGCCTATATTATAGATTAGAAAACTAAGGCACAGAGAAGTTAAGTTTCTTGTCCTAGATAACACAGCCAGAGTTTGTGAGGCTAAGATAGGATCCAGGTGTTCTGGACCTAAAGCTCACACACTTACTCCTTAGTGTAAGCTGTGTTTTGATTTTGTAATTAACATCAATGAATGTTCAAATAGTTGATTATTATCCGTGGGCACTTGAAATAACAAGGATTTATTTCATATAACTTACTTTTCTCTGTTAGTTGGGTCAAAATATAGTTTTGGAAATCCCCTTAAATACTTGCCATTTTGCCCATTTCATTCTTTGGGAAATCCGATGGAAGATACAGGATTGCCTGATTGATAAAGGTTTGTATGAAATGTTTTCTCTTGATAAGGCTTTTGATCGTATCTGTCTTAACTATTCTCTTGGTTTCATTCTTCTCAGTTTCACTTTATAATCAGTATGGAATGTTTATTGGACATTAGCTGTGTAAAAATAGGTGTAACATATTTGGAGATGCTAAAACTGTTTAACTTGCATTTAGCTTAGTGAAAGAATAATTAGGGTAGAGTTCAGACTTCTATCCATTACACACAAAAACAGGATTCATAAATATTAATAAGAAATTTATATTTGGTAAAGCTGCATTGATTTGAGAATTCAGATAGTATCATATCTTCTTCAGCATTTAGCCTTTTGGTTTGTCAAAACTACAACAAAACTCTTTTAGTGACCTAAGAGAATATTTAACCATTCTAAGTTAGAAAAAAGTGAAGAAAATTCTAAAAAATATGAAATAATATAACCCACAGCCTATGGATGATCTATAGACTTTGAAGTTAAGAGACGCAAATATCCATTTTATAAACCTTGGAAATTGTCATGGAACAATTTACAAGTATCGACATGCTAGTTTCTGAGACATTATCTCTTTTTATTGTTCTCACCAATTAAAAATGTATGTTTTGAAAGTAACGATTTTGTTTTAAAATCTAGTAACATGTAATGGACTTTTTAAAGTGATTAGTAATAGTATTACTTTATTGATATTTAATACTCTTAGGGTTGTAGAAAATTAGAGAGTATAATAAACAGGTGGGGTAAAATCTGTTGAAAAGATTTAGGCTCCTTTAAACCCAGACCTAAATTTAAATAAGAGTCTGTCCATATCACAATTAGAAATGAAACAAAGAGTTCAGATTTACAGAGAAGTGTCAAGGAGAAATGGAACCTGAGACTGAGGTTTTATTATCAGCTTTGCCACCGCAAAATTTTGTGACTTCAGGGCATGTGGCTTCAATTTGTTGAAATTAAGTACCTTTATTTATAAAATCATGAATTTGCATTAATTGATTTCAAGATTCTGTTTGGCTTTACAATTCTGATTCTGTTATGGCTCAGGATCATACCCCTTTCAGAATCCATTTTCTTGGACTCAGCTTCTTTGTTTACATCGTCCTGAATATATGAAATAGGCACAGTGTAATCCTCCAAACATGGTCATCAGTCTAAACATTATCAAAAGTAGGAGGGGAATTTGTGCTATGAGATTTATCACATGCTTAGTTTAATGCTTACTTTGCATATATTCATTAATATAATCAGTTCGCAAATATTCCAATAGGTAGATGCTTTCATTGTAACTTAGGTGAACACAGAGTTATGAAGTATTCTACATTTAACTGCTTTTATATTAGTATGTTTGATACTAACTATAGTATGCATTTTTCATATTTAATAACTTGTATCAATAAAATACAAATATAATAAATTACATCTATTTCTAAATGAGTATTGCTAAAAACTGTATATTGTTTGTGTAAATCTAAATTGGAACTTTCACTCAGTATACATTCATTTACAAAGTGGGACAAAGTATGTTTTGAGACAAATTTTCTGCTTATTAAGAATTTTTTCTCTCTCTCTATTCTTCTTTTGCTTTCCTATAGACTTGCTGCTTTCAAATAGCTGTATTCCCTTTTTGGGTTCATCAGAAGGACTGGATTTCCAAACTATTCTGTTAGATGAGGAGAGGGGCAGGCTGCTCCTGGGAGCCAAGGACCACATCTTCCTGCTCAGTCTGCTTGACTTGAACAAAAATTTTAAGAAGGTCAGTTTATTTATATATACTACAATTACTGTATGCATTTATTTTCATCTATGCCCTTCCTCTCTTTTTTTTTAAGTGACTCAGTGTCAAGTGCAATAGGTCATTTACATGTCAAAAAAGATCATATTAAAGGAAATACATTGCCTCTGATATCTGTTTTGGATTTTTATGGCTTTAAGTACAGATCCATATTCTTTGTTAAGAATGAATGAGTATGAAATACTAAAATCTTTGAAGATATGAATGAAAGGCATGACAAATTAGTGAACACTTCTGGATATTATATGGTAGAAATGCAATTTGGATTGAAAAGCTGGCAAATGAGTTATTCATTAAAATTAATATTTATGTCTATAACAAATATTGTAAAATTAATTTTTTATTAGTTTTCAATTAAGAAACAAACATACTTTAAATTGATAATGTAACTGTGGTAGCATTTTAACACAATACTGTTTTCTCCACACTCCCATTTTATAACCTGAATGGGTTTCTCCTATGCCCCAGTTACACTCAGATAGTAAAAATTAAAAATGCCACAACTGTGGGCTCTTAAAGAACAAACTTAACACTGAAAGGAAATAAATACTCATTATTCAAAACACAAAAGGCAGTTGCTGTTGGAGCCTACATTTTCAACTGGTAACATAATTCCCAAAAGAAAGGATGCCACGCTTTAGGCCTTATCAATTACTATCAGCTAGTACTTTATCAAATGCTGATATCTATGCAAGCACAGAAGGATACCAAGACTAGAAGGGGTTGAATGATTGAAGAGAAGACATAATATATGACTTATTCTGTATCTTTGAGGCATGTTTGATTGTTTTTCTTTCTCTCCTTTTCCACAAATAATGGAAAAGAGCTACTAGGAACCATTGCAAGTTTCAGGTCAACAGTTCCCAGTATTGAATTAATAGAGACTTCTTCTGGTTCCAGAAGAGTTGTTTATATATAGGTCACTGTAGGACTTTGACGCTTCATATAGCTTTTACCTGTAATGACCAATTTTAACTTAGCTCTCCAATTTTGAAACACTTTTAATAACTAAATATAAGTTGCTGAGATTTTTGAAAATATTAACAGCACTCTCAGGCCTCTTGGTCTGCACAGGCAGAATATTTATCTCCATATGTGTTAATATTGCTTAATTAACACCTGCATTAGAAATAATGTTTTTTGCCTTTTAATCATTGAATTTATAAGTAGTTCTTCCACACATTTTTGAGGTCCTCCAAAGGAAAAGGAGTTACTTGTTTTGAATGCTCAGACTTGATAAAGAAATAATCTTTGAATGTAAATGTATATGCATTTGTGTGATCTGTGTTTCTAGAAGAAAGATGGAGGGCTAACATATTGCCAGTAATTGTTATTGACTTGTTAATCCAAACACACTTACAAACTCAGAAGGTTATCCTATTTTTTAAAAAGATATTATTCTGTAGCCTAGATATTGTTTACAATAAGGTGAAATAGGAGTTGATTATGTGCTGATACTGAAAAACTTACCTTCCATTCTGTCATTATATCTTAATTCCATTTATACTTAAGGTGTATTTTTTTCTTTAGGAATTTCTTTTAAAGGTATATAGTACTCCTAGGAGAGTCTATTGATGGTATCAACTAATATCCCAGTCATCAGTAAGTATCTTAGCAGGGGATGACTATTGAAAGAAGCCAAAGAAAATCTTAGTCCACTTTGCAGTTTTGCTGTAAGAGGTACTATGTAGCTAACAAAGCATTTTTCCAAATATGTCTGTTTTAGTATAATAGCAAAAAGTAATTCATACTTCTAAGGGAATTTGTTCTTGTGCTGTTCTCTGCCTTTAGGGATTGAAAGAAAAAAAGCCTGTTTATTTGAACTGAGCTTATTAGATCATTGCTTAAAATAAATTCTGATAGCATAACTTCCTTCTGTGACTGTTTTAAGCAACTCTCTCTTTGGCTGTATTCCATGCTTGAAATGTGCTAATATTTAATAAAATAAATGCTTATGGAATATTGATTTCCCTATGTTATTGAAATAAATGGTTACTTGAACACATTATAAAATTAGGGTCTGTACTAGAGATTTTCTGTGTAACTGATATTTCTTTATCTTTATAAAATGTATATGATTTATAATGGGTTATGCATGTGAAGGTAAGACTTTATGTTTATGTAGGTATTGACCTTTAAAACAGATATAAATCACTCCAGTGCTAAAAGGTACTCCACAGTAGCAAGTTTAAGTGTTCAGATGTAGTACTTGAGCAGTGTTTAGACCTATGTGGTTTGCATTGGCCCAGTGCCCCTCGGCAAACATCCAGACTCCTCTGTGGAAGAAACCACACATGTTGGGACACTGTGGGGCTCAAGGATGTCCTTTGTACTCTTTAGAGTTAAAGCAATATACAACACATAATTGAGTTATGAGTGACTGGTTAGGAATTTTTTCCTCTGGCAAATTAATTAAATGCATATATGTAGAAAGCATTCAATTGAAGTATCAAAATTTAGGGTATATGTTTACTTGATACATGAAGTTTTGTACAAATAGGATATCTGAAATTTTTGTACAAACAAGGATATGCTTATTGAAAAATAGTCATTATCATTTCCTATTTAACACATCTTTAGTATGAAATCACCAGAAATTATAACACAATCATTTACAAAACAAATTCAGTAATAAATGCTTACTAATATCCTTCTTATTATCTGTGTTAGACTAGATTTTGAGTCTTCTACAATGAATGGTGCCAAGTATATAATCAGTAAAGTTTAATGAGTGAATAATTATAGAGAACAAAAGTACAAATCAGGTCTTTCAGAGTGTTTCCACTACCTAGAAAGTAAAAGTTAAGTTTTTTTTTTAAACTCTCTGACATTTAGATAAAAGGGATAAGATCCTGATCTGTTTTTTCTGTTGAGGGGAAGGACTATTGATATAGGGATTTAATAGACTTATGGTCAAGTGTAAGTTGCATCATGTGGGTGGGATACCTTACAGTTTTTTTTCCACAGTTTGTTCATAGGCATCTCTTCAGTTAGGGAATACTTTGTGGCTTCTTCTCTGGGACAGGTCGGGCCACGTTTGGGACAGATGTGCACATTGATTTGACATTTCCTTCCCCCAATACTAGACCAAAATGGAACAGTCAGAACAAGCCCAAAGTGACCCCATTTCAAGGGGTGGACATAGATCTGGAACTGTACTTACTGCTCCCAACAATTGTGTTGTAGGTTGAGTTCCCCTGGAAGCCAACTATGAGATGAAGATGAGTTTATAAGATATTTGTAAGGGAGTTTCCTGATATATGAGAGGGTTGCTAAGGAAGTAATGCGGAACTGAGATGTGATGCAGTCCCAACAAAGGCCTCAGCTGACAGGCCAAGCTGATAAGGTGGCAAACGTTTTAATATTTTCCTCTAGTGGAAATAATAAAACCATTTTTCAATGGGTTTGTGTTATAAAAGTGAATCTCCATTTTCTCTCTGTCTATTTCATTCACCATGACCATCAGTGGTATCTCTGTAAAAAGTAAAATCTGATCGTATTTCTTCTCTGGAGTTCTTGATTTCTGAGGATCTTGAATTAATTCCAGATTTCTGCTGACTTCTAAGGCTCTTCACCCATTTCCATCCTATGCTTCCAGGCTCACTTGAGTGTCTACTTTTGGAGTTAGAGCATTGTAATAGAATATAAAACTTAGGTCTTCTCATTGCTCATGCCCCAGTTACGGAGACAAGGCATTACACAGTTAAGAGTTACAAGGCAAGTCAGAAAGTCTTTGAATGTCCAAAAATGATGAGACAGATCACATATCATGGGAATTCAGGGAGGGGAAAAGAAATCACGTGTAGTGCATAGGATTTGAACTAGTTTAAGACAGACTGGTAAAATTTGGATTGTTGTTAACTGGTCAATTAAAATAGTTTGGATTTGGATTTGGAACTTGAGGTTTATTGTTTCCTTGTTAAGTGAGAATGGGGTAAAACATGTTTGAGAAAAGAACTAAAGAGAGTAATTTCTCCCCTCCATGTGTATATTTCTCATAGTTTAAAGAGCTATGCCCTTAACATCCTACCCTGTCCCTAGAGTTCAGGGGTATAAAAAAATGAATTTTAATAGTCCTTGAGAAAGGTGGTCAACTGTGGAAGGACATTTACATCCATTTTTCACTCATTTATAAGTGAAACATTAGAAATTTGTACAGCATTGACACGATAATAATGAAAGTGTTTGATGTTCATACAGTATGGTTGAGGACCTATGATTTCTAATCAAACAATTCTAAACTAAATTACATGGCATCTGTCACTTTAACTACAAGTGAAATCCTGCACCTCAGCCAACCTTAAGTAGTCCTAACAGTAATTCAGATAAAATCCAGAGCACACTCTATGTTAAGTTCAGGAATAATACACACAAGCTAAAAGTCTCTACCTCTCTCTTTTTAAATGGAGTTGTAGTCAGCAGTTTTTTTTAAAAAAAAGGCCAATACTTTCTGGTTATGTTATTTAACTGGGCTTCTGAGTTAATGAATTGTTGGGGTGTTTCCATCTAAAAATGTTACTACTTTGGAAGCATTTCAAGCCATGCATGGGTGGAGTGAGTCTCTAACTCAGGATGTAAGCAAACAGGTCACAAAGAAAATGATGTATTAAACTTAGTAGTGTTATTGGATCCATATTATTCAAGCAGTTGTTTCTTGGTTTTCTTTCTTTTTTCTTCTCTCTCTCTCTCTCTCTCTCTCTCTTTTTTAAGTGGACTATATAGGCAGACAGTAGACCAGTGAAAAATAAACTTACCTGAGACTGAAATTATTATTTATTTTACCTATTAATCTAACAGCAAGTGGCATGTCAACTCATGGAGTATAATAGTAAACAACTTCATTTTGCCTTCCACTGAATCCCTTTTTCTATCTACTCTTTTGGACAGATTCTTCTGGAACTGAATGATGACTCCTATATGCCACATGGCTTTTGAGGTCATGCTTAAATAATACAGACGAT